CGCCCTCAGTATGCCAATCATATTTTAGAAAAAATGGGATGGTTCTCTTTGCTTCTGTACAAGTTGTTTCATGCTCAAAATAATCAGGGTAAACCCTCGTTGCCCGAATGATGAGTCAAAGCTCCACCTAATAACCAAAAATTAAATTGAAAGAGGTTCAGAAAGCCCTCGACATGCTCATTAGGCTACTAGTGTACTCTGAGTGCTACATACTCTTGTCATGTAGTCGCCTCCGCTCTGCGCTTTGGACTTTTTTTTTTTTTTTTTTTAACCCAGTGTTTTCTTGATAATGAAGATAAGTCTCATGTTCAGGTTTAATTCCCAAACCTCACTCAGGTACCTCAAAATCCTCATGACTGAAGAGCACACACGTTTGGTATCCAAAGGATGACCAACATTGTGCCTCTTCGGGGGGGGCTTCAACTTTGCTTTAGTTTTTACTTTATTTGATCCTTTTTCTCTTTGTTTTGCAATGCTGTTTTGATCCCGTTTGTATTTTGTGTGCCTTGGTCTGGCTGAGGTAGATGGAAAAGAAATGTGAAAGCCTTAGTTTCATACACTGTCACGCACACGCGCGCGCAAACACACACACACACACACACACATACACACACACACACACACACACACACACACCACTTCAAAATGGATGCCCCTCCTATTCCTTCCAATTCCATCTTCAACCCTTCACACCAGACACGCCAAGCTTTGCTTTAGCCTGAGAAGGAATGAACCCGTGGACGACAGGGTATAAAAGATAGTATCAGCCAATGAGCGCTTCCTCTCTGCGCTTCAGTGTCCCCTTCTCTCGCTCTCTCTCTTTCACACACACACAGACACACTCAGCCACCGTTTTTTGGCAACGGGACCTTTGCTCGCATTGTCCTTGCATCGAGTTTTAAGATTTTAGTCCAGAAAGCAAGAGACTTAAACTAGTGTGAAAGGAACACTTGAAAACAATCAGGTTTGTCTCTGTGACTTCTGCCTATGTTGTTATCTGGTTTATGAAACAGAGTCTGAAATAAACCAAATACAACAGGGGATGTTGCTCTCTCGTTGACTGCACAAAATGATTTTTCTGCATGTAAACAATCACATTTCAAAACTTTGGAGGAAAAAAAAACGTTTTATACAGTATACACCAGGGGTGTCAAACTCTTCTTTTCGCGGGCCAGATTTTAGTTGCAGTTTCCCTTCGAGGGCCGTTATGACGGAAACTATATAATGAAGTCAAGAATAACTGTTTATTCAACTATTGTTTAAGTTACTGAAATGAGGGATTTGTAAACAAGAAAATGCTTACAGTATCACTCTTATTACAAATAAGAATTTAAAATTTTGGTCGAGATTTTAGCAAGCATCATAAAAGTTGACATCTTTGATTTGCTTTCGCGGGCCACATAAAATGATGTGGTGAGCCAAATCTGGCCCCCGGGCCTTGAGTTTGACATCTGTGGTATACACCAACCACCCACATTACAACCACTTACATCGTGTAATAATAATGAGAATAAGAATGCCAGGAACTAAAAGTTGCAGCTCTGCTCAGATAAAGCTCAGTTTTAAATGACACTATCATTTAACTGTAACGTGTTATGTTTTTCAGTGATGTCACCTCATAATGAGAGCGGTGCCTAATAATTGGTTACCCTCAGTTATACGAGAGTTCCAAATATTAGGAACGGCTTTTTTCAGTACAGCGCCCTGGAAAACAATGTGTCCTTTTGTCAAATTCCAATTTTATTGCACAGTTTCCCCACTTTAATGTTTAAGATCATCATCTAAATGTAAACGCGCACCTTGTTAATCACGAATTAACCGAGGGTAATGACATCTTTGGAGAAAGTTGAGTTCATTTTCACTGACCCTGGTTGCCTCCAAACGTGTTTAATCAACAAATGACCTCAATAGAACCTTTTTTGACAAAATCGAGTCAGCCAAAAGATCTCAAAAACTAAAACAAAACTAATTAAACCAAAATTCATGAACAGATGAGAAATCAAGTAATAGATATCCGTCGTTCTGGAAAGGGTTCGAAAGTCATTCCTAAAGCTTGAGGATTCCAGCAAACTGTAATGAGAGCCAGTTTCCACGAATTCAGAGAACATGCAGGACCTGTGGGACTTGGTGCGCATGATGGAACCATGACCTTTGCTCTTTGCCAGAAAATCTTGAGCATTCCCCACCATCGGTTTGTGACTTCAAGATGACACGCACTTGGGTTCTGCAACAGGACAACGATCCAAAACAAAACCTCAGTCAAGTCAACTTATGAAAACCTCCCCAAAAAAAAAAAAAAAAGATGGTTTTGGAGTGGCCTAATCAAATGAACCTAAAAAGGCCGTTCATGATAGGAAATCCTCCACTGTCGCCGAATTAAAGCAATTCTGCAAGGAAGAGTGGGCCAAAATATCTCCACAGAGATGTGAAAGACTAATTGCCAGTTTTAGAAAGCGTATGATTTCAGTTCTTACTGTTGAAGTCCAAGCGGTAATTTCACCCTTTCAGGGACAGCGGTTACTACAGTGGACAGCTTATCATGTTATCAGGTTACAGGGGGCATGAAAGGGTTAAGGGGTATGAAAGGGTTAAGGGGCAAGTACTTTTTACACAGGGCCAGGTAGCTGTGAACATTTTTTTTTTTGCCCTTATCAAATAAAACAACAGTTGAAATACTGTAGTTAATTTTTACTTAGGTTTTCATTTTTTCGGCATTTTAATTTGTTTGATGATCTTAAATTAGGGGAAACTAGGCAAGAAAAATGGAATTTGAGAAGAGGATAAATAGTTTTTTCACAGTACCTTATGGGGCAATAAAGTTGTACACCACAACAAACCACAACCATAACAAAACAATGAGTGAATACCTCTTTGACACTTTGATTAGCATGACTTCTTTTGTAAAGGCAAATCATTTGATACCGATCTTAAGTGCTCTGCAAGCTCTCAAGAAGTTGTAGCTGAGAAGTATGTATGAGTCCCATTTCTAAAATGTTCAACATTTTATGATGAAGAAAATACATCACTGCTGTCGTCCATTGAATTTGACACTTGGGACAAATACGTTAGAGCTCAGCCACATTGTTCATCGTGTTTTTGACATTCTCATTCATAATGGATTGAATTGCCGTCATCCATGGCAACATGAACTGAAAGTTTTAGATTGAGCTTGAACACTTGAAATAAATCCTCTGACCTACAGATGCTTGACAAGAAACCTTTGCGGACCACTCCTATGGAGTCCGTCACTTTGTAAAGACTGCAAACATTTAGGCAGAACTGCAAGAGCCCATAAAGTGGCTTTGAGACGTTTTCATTTCACCCCAAAATGTTGCGATTTTACATTAACGTTCATATTCATTGTGCAAGGCAGATTTCACATTGTTGGAAATGCATCTTCATAAACTGTGGGGAGAGCTTGGAAATGTGTGGAGTTGCAAGCCAAAAATCCGAAGGTTTTGTAAGTGCCAGTTATCCCAAAAGAGTGGAAAAGGACACAGGCAAAGCATTCACTGTGATTCTAAAAAGAGGATATGCATGATAAGAAGACGCATTTGATCAAATGTTTTGTTGGGAGCAATAAAACGATGTAAAAAAAGGATTTAGTATAATTGAACCACTTATTATCTATACTGTAGTTAACGGAGCAGTGTGTGGGTGGGATACTTCCTTTCAATAACAAACGCGTCGAGCAGGGGCGTCCTAGGAATAAAATTCGGGCTGGGAATATGCATTGACGGCAACTGTAACTTGCCGAAAAATTATCGGCGACGGGGGTATGTTGAAAAGTTGACATTGATGCGCCGAAAACGGCGGGGTGCCACAGTAACATGCCCCAAAATAATCTTAAATGTGGGGGATGGTACCCCTGGGTGCCCATGATGCCTAGGACCGACCTATAAGTAGACCGGCCGTTGGGGAATATTTTCCCGAAATTACCGATGGCCAACCCGCCCCTGGCATCACTTTGAACTTTGTTTTATCATTTAAAAAAGAAAGATCACTTTGGAAATGATGCAAATCAAATCAGTCGAAATATGTCAAACTTGCATGAATTCAAGTGACTACCAAATGCCAGTCCAAACATTCTAAGGCAGTGGTTCTTAACCTGGGTTCGATTGAATCCCAGGGGTTCGGTGAATCAGTCTCAGGGGTTCGACAGAGCCTCTGCCATGGAGGATACGACACACCTGACTCAATGTGTCAATTAGTTATGACATCACTGGCTGGTTCATTTTGTGCACAATTATAACATTTATACTTATATGTATACTAATTGTGTTTACTTTTTTCTGTTTATATGTCTTGAATTTGTAAAAAAAAAAAAAATCATATTTTTATTTTTCAGTAATGAAGGGTTCGGTGAATGTGCCTATGAACTGGTTGGGTTCAGTACCTCTAACAAGGTTAAGTCAAGTCAAGTCAATTTTTATTGTCAAATATGTTCTATGCGCAACATACAGCACAGATGAAATTACTTTCCTCTCTCAACCACAATAATGGCAGAACCAGAAAAATAAGAACCATTGTTCTAAGGGCTTAAACTCAGATCTTCGTGCCTTCCTCAAAGGTGGGAGAGAAAGGATGCATCGCTCCCGGAATCCAAGATCGGACTACGGTCTTGGCCACTTGTCTGTGCTCAGATTTATGCCAGTAAGAAAGTTCAGTCGTTCATAAAGTGACTTCTAGGAGTGGCCTTCTGTTGTCCTTTTTACTTGCTCCAAACCTCGCAGCTAATCAAACAGGTCAAAGGCCTGACTCCTGCATTTAAAATGGTCCAACATTATTATGACTGTCTTTCTACACACACACACACACACACAGACACACACACACACACACACACACACACACACACACACACACACACATCTATGAACAGGTCCAGGGAACATTCCACAGCAGCACAGCCAGCGTGGACATCCTGAGGAAACAACACTGGCTTCCTGTCAAATTAAGCCAAGCCGCTGGCTGCTGTGGACGATAACCGCTGTTGGATGAGGTAGAGCGCCACCTTCGTGCCACCACGCCCACCAACCACATGCCAGCACCCATCCAAGGCCATTAATGTCCAGGACCATCGGCCAGAGCAGGATCACTGAAGAACTCCTCAGACGCCATGGGCCGCTTTCTGCTTCTGTTAACCTGCACGCTCGTATCCAACTGTAAGCTTGTGTTATCTCTTTGGAATTCTTCTTGGAGGAGTGAATTCATTGACTGATTTCTAATCAGGTGCTTTTTATTCTTGTTCCAAGACCTCCATCCATGGAGAGGGGCCGGCGCACAGTCCAGTAAGTACATTACATTGGGAGATGCGGCTACATTTTGTTTTGTTTTTTTTACTTCAACGATAGATTTCTTTCTATCAGTGTGATCTGCGAATCGGTCTTGTGGTCGTACGGGGGCGGGCGGAGAGGTCGGTGTTTTCATGGCCTTTTTAGACAAACCAATATAAAGAATCTGACGCACAATGTCGGGCAAACACTTTCATCACAACCACTTGCTAGAGATTTACATTGCTGCCATATTATTGACCCCAAGGTTTAAAAAAAAAAAAATTCAGTGGGTTATAGTTTGTGTTACAATTTCAAGCAAAGGCTACAGTTATGGCACCTTTTACTTGGTGAGTGGGGGTGGGGGTCTACTGTACATGACAATGAGTTGTGTGGTCATCCACAGGGCCACTAAAGCTTCAATGTGAGTTAGTGGAAAACTTTATCGCAGCTTTGGGTTTATTGTCGGCCCCGGTGGAAAAAGTTGATCAGAACAGTCTCTGGGAACGTGTCAGCCGGCATTGTCACACGCTTTGCTCACTCAACGATGGAACGTTTGACTCGGTCCTCATCAGGTGGCGTGCTCCTTGCATGCCAGCTTTCATCAGGACGAGTTGTGAATGATGCTCGGTCATAGGCAGCGTCGTTCCGCTCCGACAGACTGTGAGCAGAGCGACCTGTTGGTGGAGTCGAGTATTTTGATCTTGCTGTTGTTGTTCAAACTCCGTCATATGAGGGATTGACGGTTGTGAGCTGTTGCTGTTTGGCTCAAAATGACGCATAGTACATCTTGATGAATTTTAAAAACAGCTGTTTCAGTCATTCAATTTCCAAAGTGAAATTTATATTGAAATTAACATATAGGAAAATACTTTTCAGGCCAATTCCTACCATTTTTGTTTGATTTCTCTCTCTCTCTAAGGTGTGGTGCAGAAGACTGAATGCAGCTCCCGCCTTCCGGTGTGGAGTTTGAATGTTCTCCTTATGCCTGCGTGGGTTTTCTCCAGGTATTCCGGTTTTCTCCTACATTCGGAAAACATGCGTGGCAGGTTAATGGAACACTTCCTAGGTGTGATTATGTGCGCAAAAGGTTGTTCGTCTCTGTGTACCCTGCGATTGGCTGACACCCAGTTCAGCGTGTACCCCACCTACTTCCCGAAGACAGCTGGGATAGGCTTGTGAGGATAAGCAGATTAGAAAATGGATGGATGGATATATTTGATTGGTTGAATATTTAATATTAATATTAATATTTACTACGCTTAAAAGCCAAGTCTGTGCCAGAAAGCCAACCAATTTCAATGCATTTTGATTTTGGATCATTGTCATGTTGTAACATCAACAGTTATGTCCAAAGTTCAGTTTGAGGTGAATTTGTTGATTGTTCCTTCCACAACAGTCATATTTCTTGAGATGGTGAATTGTTAATTTTCAATAGCTGTTAGGTATAATATTTGAATTTTTTTTTCCACTCATGAAATATTTCACTCTTTGTGTAGTGAATCTATAGCAGGGCTCACCAACATGATGCCTGCGGACATCAGGCAGCCTGAGCACCTCAAGTAGACTATGGGCCTGTTGTACTAAAAAAAAGTAGCTCATCAGTGGTGGGACATTATTTTTTAGGAATATTGTAGACGTGAACATCTGAAAATGTAATCCCTGCCAGAGATTTCTAGAAATAAAGTGTTGCATGTCTTTATTGTAAGAAGTCGTTAACATGTTCACTTTCTTCACATGAATATCATTTTTAATAACATTATTCAAGGTCATTGGAGCAGATTTGTTATTTCAGAAGAAAGAATCAAACTGGTAGGCGTTCACATTAACAGTACCAGGAAGTACTTTAGCTCGGTGTGCTAGCTTGGAAAGATTTGGAAGTGTTGGCTTCATTGAAATTGGTTTGGTTTCTGGCACAGACTTGGCTTTTAACCGTAGTCTAGAAATGTTCAATAGGGTTGAGATCAGGACTTTAGTACGGCCATGTGATTTTGGATCATTGTCACGTCGTAACATCAACAGTTGTGTCCAAGGTTCGGCTTGAGGTGAATTTGAAAAATTTGGAGGTTCTTCTTATTCTTCATCACTGCATCTGCAGTGAGCAATGTATCAGCACCACCGGCAGCAAAACAGCCTACCTCTTCCATGCGTGACAGTTGCTACACCTTGACTTCTCAAAAGAGAGTTTAGCCCATTTAGCTCATCTTCGGGTTTTGGCCCAACTTGTTCATGACGGCTGCTGCAATTTCCGTCGAGCTTGACGGTTTCAATTTCAGAGCAGCGTTTCTTTTGTGGTCGGCACGTGCTCACTCACGGTGATGTAAAGCTCCACTCACCGAGGGCAGTAACACTCGTCTTCTTCGAGGCTCCTAGCTTTTTTCTGGACATCCTGACCAATTACCCTCACATTGTTTAGAAATAAATCCAAAGGACTTTAGCCCACGTGAGTACATTCTCCATTGGAGTGCTTCCTGAGTTTCTTGGGCTTTTCCATTGTTCTGAATATTGGTCAAGCTGGTGAGTGCTGTCAAACAATTCGATGTGATACCGTTCAAAAAAAATGGTTAATTGAGCTTGGCCTTGTCAAATCAATGAAGACAATCTTGATAAGTCACCACCACTTGTATATATACAGTACACAGTAAATATTAGCCTGTGTGATAATGTTGACCCTGTGTGGATTAAAATCCTTAACACAAACTTGTTTTTACACTTGAGTGTTGAATTTGTTAGAGCAATATTTGACCTTGGCAAAAGAACAGTCCAAATAAATCACGAAAAGCCCCAAATTAAAATGCGCTCATTTCCCCTGAAATTTGTATTGGTTCAAAGGGGCATCTTCAACCGGAACTAAAGAAAGAAACTACAAACTTACAGTTAGTGAAAATTATTCCATCATTGCACGTGTTTTTGTTTTTATTTGACATTTTTGATAAATTCATAGCCTTTTGCAACACAGCTATGACTCGAAATTTCAAGTTTAGGACAATGCTCTGGTCGAAATGATGCCCCAAATTACCAAGATCATTTAGAAGCGTGCAAAAGATTGCGTTTTCTAAATCTCTGATCTGAAAAGTTTGTAAACAGCAAATCTTTTTATATCGCTAACCAAACGTTTTTTGCAACTTTCTTGCCATTTACACACAGAAGGAAGCAAATACAAATTTACTAGCCGTAAATATTGATTCATTAAACATTCTGAATGATATTATTAAGAACACAATTGAAATTTGGTGGCTCAGTGATCCAGTGGTTAGCGCGTTGACCTGAGAGTGCAGAGGTACCGGGTTCAATTCCAGCTGCGGCCTCCCTGTGTGGAGTTTGCATGTTCTCCCCGGGCCTGCGTGGGTTTTGTCCGGGTCCTCCGATTTCCTCCCACATTCCAAAAACATGCATGGCAGGCTGATTGAACACTCGAAATTGTCCCTAGGTGCGATTGTGAGCGCGGATGGTTTTTTTGTCTATGTATGTCCTGCGATTGGCTGGCAACCGGTTCAGGGTGTCCCCGGCACCCCCCGTGACTCTTGTGAGGATTAAGTGGATCAGAAAATGGATGGATGGATGAACAATTGAAATTTCTTTGATATGATCCCTTTGTAAATCATAACCGCACGCATGTTTTTGAACCCCACCCTACAGTGTTCACTATAAGGGACATCAGCATCTCACTTGAGCCCGGGGACAACGTGATGCGGGGCACCAATGTGACTGTGCGCTGTGAGGCGTTGGTCAGCAGCTCAGGCGCAGGGCCACTGAGTCGCGAGTACACAATCTACAAGGACGGCGTCACTGTGTACACAAAGACTACCAGCAGCTCCAGCGACCTCCTGTACCGTCTTCCTGACGCCCGAGTGTCCAACACGGGCAAGTACAAGTGTAAGCTCAACATCGAAGGCAGGAAGGTGACCAGCGAGGCCAAGAAACTCACAGTCACGGGTAAGTGCGTCTAGACACTAACAACTGTGCTTTTTTTTTTTTTTTTTTCTCGTCTCATTTTTATCCGGGGCAATTTTTCTTTCTTTCCGATATGTGTTAGTAGAGCTTTAAAGCAAAGCAGCCGTTCGTGTGTAAACATGAACTTGCCTCATTGGGTATTGTTTCAGAGTCGGGGGTGGGGTGGGGGTTTCTCTCATCTTCCCACAGCTTCCTCCCACATTCTAAAAACGTGTGTCTTAGATTTTCTAAGACTGAATTGTGTGAATGTGAGATTGCTTGTTTGCCTCCATCCACCAATGGCTGATTGGCTGCCTGCGAATCCAGAATGTACCCAACAATCTACAATATTTCAACACATTACACAATAATGGAAGAAAAACAAAATGATATATTAATGTAAAACTGTAAATTGATCCGGACGACATGCGACTCACCATGGTGCATTCCTCGTAGCTCTGCCTGCAGCTACGGCGGGAAGCAGGTGCCACACCGTGCACTGTTGCGTCGCTTCCATCATAATTGAATATACTTTATGCATCACTCCATTACTAATGTACCCCACCATTGGGTTTCCTAAATGAAATCAGAGGTTGATGAAGTATTCCAACTTTACACTCAAGTAGAAGCACAGATACAGGTGGAGCTTAAGTATAACATAAAAACCACCCCAAAAATATGCCACTTCACCCCCAAAAAATGTTTGTATTTTTTTCAGATGAGAGAGAAATTTTTTGTACTCCAGACGCGTAGGCAGCCACAAGATAACGTCAAACAATTCTCATTCGTATTCAATGATCGGGAATATCTTCAAATCTATTGGCTCATTGTCATTAAAATTCCCCGCTTCACGTTCTTCCAAGTCATCACTGTTCCTGTTTTTTACTTCTTAGAAATCCCCATGATCACAATTAGTCAATCAAAATCTCAACAGGAGCTGACTCGATCCATCATTCTGTCGTGTACAGTATTCGGGATGTAACCAAAGATTGATTTGAACTTTATATTTAAAAGATGCAAGCACACTCATTGCGTCATAGCCCCTAAAAATGAGCCGTAAAAAATCGCTTTGAATCGTAGTCCCACCGAATCGAATCGTTCCCCAACCGTCCTTGAATCATATCGCCCCCCCCACCCAAGTATCGAGATACGTATCAAATCATCTGTTTCAAGTCAAGTCAGCTTTATTGTTAAATATGCTCTATGTGTAACATCCAGCACAGATGAAATTACTTTCCTCTCTCAACCACAGTGCAAACATGTGGTGCATTGAACACACACTGCTAAAATTTACGTTAAAATTTCATAAGACATAAATATATAAATATGTCAAATAAAATTAAATAAAACAAAATAAACAAATAAATAAATAAACAAATAAATAAAATGTTTGTAACTGTACTTCAGTACAGTAAGCCACCACTGAATAAAATATCTAAACACCGCTGGGTATCTTTGCTCACATTGCAGGTTTGTCTACACCCCTGCTTCATTTGAACAATGCTGTTGTCAGTGAAGGGGAAGAGCTAACAGCCAGGTGCACAGCGCCGGGAGAAACAGGGTCTATCATTTTCTACTTCTATGATGACTCGAAGGAGATCCTAGAGGACAGGGTCAACTCCAACCAGTCCGAAGTCAAGCTTCGCTTCAATGATGTTGGCATCCACAAGATGAACTGTTCCTACACCGTCCTGGTGACACCATTCTTCTTCAGGTCTGACAAAAGCAACTCTGTCACCGTTTCGGTCAAAGGTACTGGAAACATTGTAATTCATTCACTTTTCCAACCGTCAAGGTTTTCTTCTTAGTGGTCGGTCTTGTTTCCACAGAGCTTTCCATTACACCAGTTTTGGAGATTTTCCCTTATAGCAATATCTACGAAGGAGACAGACTTGACATTATGTGTACCGTGAGAAGCCTCATGGCCGACATGCATGGAAACGTTCACCTCTACCTGAGCCGTGGGACACAGCTTCTCAGCAGGGGGGACACTAATGTCAACCACAGCATGATTGCATTGGCCAAGGACTCCGAGGAGTTCGAGTGCAGACTGGAGATGGGAAATGTTGTGAAGGTGGATACGAAAAAGATTTTGGTGACTGGTAAGTACCGTGTGTTGTACAGTTGTGCATCTTATGGTTTAGAACAGGGGTGTCAAACTCATTTTTGTCGCGGGCCACATTGTAGTTACGGTTTGACTTGGAGGGCCGTTATAAATATTGGGAAACCATTATAAATGTTTAATCATCTCCACATATTACATACACAGCGCACAACAAATGGATGGACAACTAGTTTTAAAATCAGAAGTCAAGAATAATGACTGTTATTGTGGATTACATATGACAATTTGAAATTTTGGTTCAGACTTTAGCAAGCATCATGGAACTTGACATGCTTGATTTGCTTTTGCGGACCACATAAAATGATGTCGCGGGCCAGATCTGGCCCCCAGGCCTTGACTTTGATAGCGGTGGTTTAGAATTCACAGTATGACATCATTGATGTAGTGGTTAGAACGGGCCTGGTAAAAGTATGACCAAGGAGGGGCTGCATCCAGCCCACCCGCAGCCTCTAACCGGCCCTCACAGTGACCGTGAATTCGAGCAAGGTAGCAAGCAATCGCTACAAGTTGTGTCTGGAGTGTTCCCAATGATTTATTTCCTGTACAGTGGAGGGAAGAGGGCCGAGAGTATTTGTCCTGATCATGCTGTACGCAAATCTACGGTTTTATACACTGTATGAATTGGCTGTATTATAAATCATCACTTTATCATTATATATCACTGTCAATAAAATCACTCTTCCCACTTATCTACTATAGGTGCATATATTTGGGAGTCCTAACTCGGAATGGCTCACATTAAATGTATTTTAAAACATTTTTACAGTTGAAGGTGTAATTTTAATGACTGTTTATAAATGGATGTAAAATGTGTATTTTTCAATTATAACAATGCATACGTACCACATCTACACATAAACACACACACACACACCATTTATAGAAACGAGACAATAAACGTTTTTTCACTCAAAAATAATATAGACAAAATTGATGTTCGCATGTTGGCTTGGCCTTTAGCAAGTGTCCTAGTTTTTCATTTGGCCCCTTTGCAAAATTAATTGCTCACCCCTGGGTTAAAACATCTGTGTCACAGTCAAAAGCTGAGCGGTATGAATCCTGGCTCTGGAGTTTGCATGTTGTCCCCATGCTTGCATGCATTTTCTCCAAAAGGGTAAATTGAAGACTTGAAATCAGATGTGTCCAAACTTTTTCATCCAAGAGACACATACAGCAAAATTATAGGATTTCAAGAGCCAGATTGTTTGACAGTTCAGGGTCTCCGTTGTCTTATTTTACGCTTTATAATGCACCACACATTTTCAATGTGAGATAGGTCTGGACTGGAGGCAGCGCAGTCTCGTACCTGCACTCTTTTACTACGAAGCCATGCTGTTGTAACACGTGCAGAATGTGGTTTTCCATAGTCTTGATGAAATAAGCAGGGGCATCCGTGAAAAAGACGTAGCTTGTATGGGAGCAGATGTTTCTCCAAAACCCGTATGTACCTTTCAGCATTAATTGCACCATCTCAGATGTGTAAGTTAGCCATGCCATTGGCACTAACGCAGCCCCATACCATCACAGATGCTGGCTTTTACACTTAATGTACATCACAGTTGAGATGGTTCTTTTCCAGGATACACGCCGACCACAATTTCAAAAACAATTTGAAATCTGAACTCGTCAAACCTCAGGACACTTGTCTTCTTTGCATTTAGATGAGTTTGGGCTGAGAGAAGCTGGCAGCATTTCTGGTTGTTGTTGAAAAATATCTTTTGCGTTGCATAGTAGAGTTTTAAGTTGCACTTACGGATGTAGCGCCAAACTATATTTACCGACATTGGTTTTATGAAGTATTCGTGAGAGCCCACGTGGTGATATCCTTTACACAGTGATGTCGGTTTTTGTGCAGTGCCGACTGAGGGATCGAAGGTCACGGGTATTCAGTGTTGGTTTTCAGCCTTGCCGTTTACGTGCAGTGATTTCTCCAAATTCTCGGAACCTATTGATGATATTATGGACCGAGGATGATGAAGTCCCTAAATTCTTTGCAATTTGTACTTTGTGGAAGATTGTCCTTAAACTGTTTGACTCACGCACTTGTTCATAAAGAGGGAACTCTCGCCCCCATTTATACCAATCATGGCAACCACCTGTTCCCAGTTACCCTGTTCACCTGTGGCATATTCCATGCAGGTGTTTGATGAGCTTTCCTCAACTTTCTCAGTCTTTTTTGCCACCTTTCCCAGCTGTTTTGGAACATCTTGTAGACATAAAATTCAAAGTTAATGGTATGTGCAAAAAAAAAAAACAAAAAAAAAAACCCACTAACGTTTGTCAGTTTGAACTTCAAATATCTTGTCTTTCTAGTGTATTGAATTAAATATAGGTTGAATATTATTTACAAATCATTCTATTCTGTTTTGATTTATGTTTAACACGCCCCAAATTAATTGGAATTGGGTTTGTGTGAATAGAGAGAGAGAGAGAGAGAGAGAGAGAGAGAGAGAGAGAGAGGTGGATTAATCAGTTTGAACATGAACTATCTTGACTTTGAAGTGAATATAGGTTGAAAATGATTTGCAAGTCATTTTCCTTTTTGGGAGGGACATTTTACACAACATCCCAACTTCATTGCAAGCGGAATTTGTTAATAGTACAATGCTGGCAAATGACACAGGCCACGTCAATTATTCATTTTAGTAAATTCCGCGGGCCTCTGAAAAAAGAACAGCGTGCTGGAAATGGCCCCCAAGCCATAGTTTGAACACCAAATTTGCTCCAAATTATTCATAGGTCAATGTGAGCATATTTTATTTTTTTGTTCGTTTGTTTGTTTGTTTTTTGCTGGTTTTTTTGTTGTTTTTTGTGTCCTGCAACTGGCTGGTACTCTGCCTTCCGCCCAAACGTAGCTGAGATAGGCTTCATCTCACCCTCAACCTCAATGAAAACAAGTGCTATTGCAAATGCAGGTTGTTAATGGCTGATGTTTTTGATTGTATCCACAGAACTGTTTTCAGTGCCTACTCTCACCATGTCTCCAAGCGAAGTCTTTCAAAAGGAGTATATGACTCTGAGCTGCAAAAGTGACACTTTTGCTTCAGAGAGGATCCGCAGGGACCAGTTGACATATAGTTTGGATCCACCAGAGAGCCTCTTGATCCCGAAGAGCTCTGGCGTGTTTTCTGGCAAAGCTCCAGTCTACGATTTCAACTACACCTGCATCGCTCAAGCCAAGGGCATTAGGAAATACAGCAGACCGTTGACGGTCCGTCCTAAAGGTGAGCCTGCATGCTTCTTTCACAGTATATGACAGCACTTCACATAATCAGGTACACAATCTATTAAGACACAATCCAAAGCTGTATCACAAATTCTGCCTTAAAAAAAAAGTTACCATTGAATGACACTGTCAGAGAGCTCATTTCACAACAATATTATTATTGTGGTTGTAGTTTGCAGTGGTGTCATTCTACAATGCAACATACAAAGATCAGTATTTTGGCAGTCCTGGCAGCCAATTAATCCCCCCCATAAAATATCAGAACACATTTGCAGTTTCATCTGCAATATCCTGAAACTGATTTAAATTCCTATTGGATAATTTCTGGGAAACGATTTCTTCCACAATTTTCCAGAATTGTGGTATTTGCCCAGTTGCAATTTAATCAAATATACATTTAGATCAGGGGTGTCCAGACTCTGGCCATTTGGAGCCCACAATCCATTTTTAGCAGCCAGCGACATGTACTAAATAAAACAAATGGCATCGCCCATGTCAAGTGCCTACATTGTCAAGCAGGAGAAGAGAAAAAAAAAGTGTTCTCATCTCTCACGTACTTGTTTTCCATCAATCAAAAATCATTCGGTAAGACGCGTCTCAGAATTGTTTGCTCAAGTGTCTGCTGTGTTAAGGACTGCTTAGTTCAGATTGCTCTGGTTTGGTTTTGAATGCGCAGATGCGATTCTGCCACTGCTCAGAAAAGTGACAGATAAATACTAGTGCTGTGCAGTAACACTCCAAATCCTGAAAAGTCCTTGAGTTTTTGCTTTATCAACTACATGAGTAAAATTTTTTTTTTAATTCAAGTCAAGTTTATTTAGTTTAGTTTTTATGATGTATCACAAAAGATAATCAAAGGGTTTTGCTGGCCCTCATTACATTAAATTAATTATATGCCCGACGTCTTGACCCTCCATTCAAGGCAAAAAAAAAAACTAGATGTAAATGTATATCCATCCATTCTAAACATTATCCTTACTAGGGTTGCAGGTGTGCTGGAGCCGAACAACGGATTTTTCAGAGTACATGCATAATATATAGTGATTGCTGCGCATATTTTTAATGACACTAAAGAATGTCAAAGTGGCTCTAGCTTTCTTTGAAATTTTCTGAATACGGAACTCCAAAGAAAACGCATGGACAACCCTGATTTATAGCATTTTGCTCAAAATGTTATTCTTATGACCTAAATATTTAATATTGTATAAATATTGTCTTAACACAATATCCTAATGCAGTTAGCCACTTTCCCATGTGACTTTAAGCCAAGAAATACCAAAACACAAAATAAATATCTAATTTTATTTACTCAGTCGTTGGCCAGGATATGAATCACTTTGGGTTTAACTTTCGAGAACCAACCTGTCAGTGTTCTCTGAATGTACCACATTACTAGAGTGCACTTTAGAAACTATGAGTGTAACCCATACTCTTTTAACAAGAGCATATTATATGATACGAAACGATGCGATAAGTTCTGATCCGATACGATACAGGATGAACTGGTCGCTGTGGTGCACAAGGCCTGTCACCCAAAATCTGCTGGCATAGGCACCAGCACAACCACAAACCAGGCACAGCAAATTTATAACACAATGTAGTGTAATATGTATACTGTATATACATGTTTAGCTATCTATCTATAAAGGTCTTATTGGTTTCATGTTTTTCTTTTTTTTTAACTGAAGTTTGTTCTTGCTGTGGTTGCCCACTTTTAGTAACTGTGTCAACGCCAAAGATCTCAGTGGTTGGCAGCGCGGTGCTGGGACGTCCCTTTAAGGTCCTGTGTAAGTCGGACTTTGGCAGCCTGCCCATAAACTACACTTTGCTGAAAGACTACGACCAGCTGAGCATGGCCATTGTAAAAATGCCACTTGAACAGGCTCTGTTCACCGTCACGATCCATCAGCCCGGCGAAATAAACAAGTTCATGTGCGAGGCCAAGAACAGTCAGAAGGACGCGCCGCTCAGCAAAAGACTGGAAGCTATTGTTGTTGGTAAATATTTCACAGAGCAAGAACTGCTGTTTTTTTTTTATTTACTATACAGTGGAACCTTGCATATTTGCAGCATTTTCAAATTTGCCTCCTCACATACATTTGTGGGGAACTATGCATGTCTATTATCCTCTGAAAAACTCATGTATTCGCTGTTTTTGTGCTCAGGCCGAAGCCACGTGTCTGAATTTTAAAAAATCCTACAGCATCCTATGTTTTGGGCAAATGGGGATTGATATGCACTAATATTTGCTGCGTGGCCCCTTTGGCGGGAAGTTACTGTATGGGCAAATATATCCAATCAATCAAGTAATCAATCTGTGGTGAGGCTTGAACCCATAGATTGCCCTGAATCTTTTTTCAGCTCAATTTTGAAAAGGCACGCTTGAATGACCGTGAGATCCCTGCCCACAAGCCCATCAAACAGCCCACCTCTGCCTTTTTCCTCCATAGTGCCGCTATCTCATCCGACGCTCACAGTCATCCCCGTCTTGCCGGAAATTGCGGAGGGAGATCATCTGTTCCTGATCTGTGGTGTGAAAGGCACCCCGCCGATCACCTTCAAGTGGTATCGAGATGACAACAGAAGCCCGATCTTCACCACCACCACAGACATGAACAATACCGACTACCAGATTCAAGCTCTGGCTAAAGATGACAGTGGCACCTATTACTGTGAGGCCATCAATCACGCCAAAAATGTGGTCCGCAGCGCACCGGTCACCATAGTAGGTGAGGAGAATGTTTATTCACATACAATCTCATATAAACATTGTGGCGACACGTGGGGCAAAGGTTTAGCACAGCCGCCTCACAGTTGTGAAGGTGAGGGATGGAATCTGAACTCTAGTCTTTCTGTGTAAAGTTTGCTTCGTCTCCTCATGCCGGCATGGATTTTGACCAGGTACCATGGCTGCCTACCACATTCCAAAAACACGCACGTTGATTGAAGACTTTCAATTGTCCTTAGGTGTGAATGTGAGTGTGAATGGTTGCTTGCCTATGTGCTGAGCAGTAATAATTCTTAGCTTGCGCTCAAACTACATTCACTTGCTTGTCTGGTGTTCTTGTTGCATTCCTGTTTGTCTTCAGTAAATGAAAAGCATCCGGCCATTGGAGGGTGTTCCGTTTTATTTGTCTTCAAAAAGTCTCGAGTCGTTTTCTCAGTACCGTATTTTCCGCACTAAAAGGCGCACCTAAAAGCCTTCCATTTTCTTAAAAGCTCACAGCGCACCTTAAAATCCGATGTGCCTTGATATTTCGACCCCAAAATGGCTCCTTGCTCGAGACATGCTGACAATGCAGAGTTCAAGCGATCGGGTTTCGCAGTTGAACACTGAAATAGAGCAGCGGCAAGAGAGTTCAACGTTAACGAGTCAATGTTATAACTTGCCTTTGGTTAAGTGAACTGTTTCCGCTGCTTAATGAAATAAATTTTTCTGACATCTGATCGTCCTGTTGGCGTTTCCTTGAGCATAGCTCTATCTAGTGGGTGCATTGTAGATTGCATCATATAATGCGGTCCGCCCAATACTGTCTATGAAAAAAAATTACAAAATAGGCCATTCATTGAAGGTGCGCCTCATAATCCAGTGTGCCTTTTAGTATGGAAAATATGGTACATTTATTTACCTACACTGGGAAGCACTGTCCCATTAGTTGTTGTGAAGTCAGACAAGAAGATTGGCTCAAATTCAGCCGAGACCCCTAACACATGAAGAAAGGTTTGAAAAAAGGCTGTCTAATAAATCAGTGTCATCAATGTCACATGACTTTATCAAGTCATGTGGTAGGTAAAAATAAAATCCCTTTCAATGCTACAGGAGATACTGTTATTGACAGCAGAGAAGGTTTTCGTTTGAAATTTATATTATGAGTCGGCAGCCTCCTCTTTAATTGCACTATTCCACCCTTTAGTACTTGCTTTAAAATCTTGGGCGACCCGATGTCGAGTGGTTAGTGCATCGGCCGCACAGTGCAGAGGTGCAGCGTTCGAATCCAGCTCCAGCCTTCCTGTGTGGACTTTGCATGTTCTCCCCATGCCTGTGTGGGTTTTCTCCGGTTACTCCGGTTTCCTCTTACATTCCAAAGACATGCGTGGAGGTTATAATGGAAGACTCTGAATTGTCCCTTGATGTGAGTTGTGAGTGCGGATGGTTGTTCGTCTCTGTGTGGCCTGCGATTGGCTGTCAACCAGTTCTGGGTGTACCCCACCTACTGCCCGAAGACAGCTGGGATAGGCTCCAGCACCCTCCGCGACCCTTCTGAGGATAAGCGAATCAGGAAATTGATGGATGGATGAATTTTACGTCATGAGAACTCAATTTTAACTATTAACAGCATTTTAGCCATTATTGTTGCGTGGGTCTCTAAATCAGCTGGTTCCAAACAGCTCCATTGTCTCCCTAATTTGCTCTTTCCACCGTCTTTTTCTTTTTGTGCGTTGTACCCTTTGTAGTATTACACTAAAATTGCAGTCGTCTGCATTCAAATTTGCGCTCCGGCAGGCAACAACCAATTCGAATGATGTCATGCACGCTGTGATCAAGCGGATTACAATTTCAGCATTGTGGTACGCTCATACTGGTCGTATTTTATTTATTTTTGTTCATCTTCTTGAAATAAATTTGAATTGAGTTGAGCCATATTACAAGACTCAGTGGTCCTCATTCACAGATTTGTGCTTGAATCAAGCACTTTAAGCGCTTGACACACCAATCTCAGATTCATCTGTTCTTACTTGAATTTGTTTTTAATTCTACAAACAAATTTAGAACCTCCTCAGCACCATTAAAAAAAAAATGAAGAGCTACTGTATTACTGTACTGTACTATTCCAATTTCCAGCATGATCATTACTGAAAATCATTGGTTCAATATTTGGTCATGTGCGTTATAATCAGTGGTGTTCTGTCAGGGCCAGCAAGATCTTTGCTCATTATAATCAGTGGTGAACATTCAGGGCGCCGTCTTTTGTTTTTGATTGATTCCACAAACCTCATTTGTTATTTGTCCAACAATGTCGTCTTTGTACTCTCTCGGCAGTGCGCCTGGCCCTCTGGAAGAAAGCCGTTATTGTAGGCTTCTGTCTGCTCCTGGTGTCGGTGCTGGTGGTGGTGTTTGTGCTGTGCATCAGGTCCAAGAGAGGTAGAGACACCTACAATCCCACAGCAACTCACACCTCCTTAGTTTGACTACGTGTGAAGCAACCTTCTCCCGCCCTCTTCCTCCTGCCCTCCTCACATCTCCTCTCTTATTATAGGTAAAAGGGAAGCAGCTGCTGAATTGTCAGTGTGAGTTGGCTCCACTACTTGCTTCCTCTCTATGTGACAGATGGTGTATAGCTGCGTTAGTCACAGTGTATCCGTATTGTTAGGTTGGCCGAGATTGAATGCGGGGTCGCTAGCCAAAAGGTTACATCTTGGGTGATCCAAACAATGTTGACAGCTCTGAATGCAGGTGTGACTTTAAAAAAAAAAAAAAAAAAAGATCCAATTTAAAGGTGTGCTGTTGTCAAAAATACCTAGATACAGTTTCTGCAGTATCTGTACCTTTAACAAAAGCCAGGTATTTGTGATGTGAAAAAATGAGAACAAGATGAACAATTTGTCAACTTTTTCCACCCTTAATATGGACTTTAACAATTCTAGCAAACTGAAGTTTAATGGGAGTGGATAAAATACTCAAAAGAATCCAAAGTCTAATTGTTTCGTTAAAGCACCTTTCATTTCAGTCTTTTCGGGTGGGAGCCCATCAGCATAGCATGTTTTGGCATAAATTGGTCTATGTTTGCCCGACAATTCCTCGCTATAATGTTCCAAATCTATCAGAATACAAGCACACCTCTGTTTTCCCGTCTTCAGATCACCCAACAGATTTTGAATTGAATTTAAGTCTGTGCTCTGGCTCGGTGTTACCAACCTCAGCTCAGTTAGCATATAAAGGTGGCAAAATACAAAGTAGAAATTCCAAAGGTACCTTGCTATTTATTTATTAATGTGTTTATTTATTATGACATTGAAATGCGGGGCGGCCGGTGGTCGACTGTTTCGTGTGTCGGCCTCACAGTGCTGAGGTGCAGGATTCGAATCCAGCTCCAGCCTTCCTGTGTGGAGTTTGCATGTTCTCCCCGAGCCTGTGTGGGTTTTCTCCGGGTACTCCGTTTTCCTCCCACACTCCAAAAAACATGCGCGTCAGGTTAATGGAACTGTTTTCCTCAGCTTCCGATCATACCAGGAGTTAAAAACAACAACAATAACAATGATCTGAGTTGAGCGTTGAACATTAACTCCAAAACCGGTTTGGAATAGCTGAACTAGCGTTTGGTGACTTTGTGAATGAAAACAATGTGTTTATCTCCATTACGAAAAACTCCTCAGAACTGTCCACTTGTGATTAGATCACCCAAGATGTCATCACTAGATCAGAACAGGCATCAGAGAAGTCTAAAAACCAAGCTTGGTGTCTTGCTTGGTTGAGTCCATTGAGAGACTGCTACTACTCCTATTATGACCACGTATTGAGTAACAATACCAAAGTATACTGTTAGAAGAAAACCCGTCTTTGTAGCAATTCAATATAGTATTCCTTCATTTAATCCAAATTATTTATCAACCAATGAAATGAATGGATGTTTGTATTTTATTATTTTTTTATCTTCAGATGAGGCCACGGAACTAATTTCCATAAAACATCTCCAGTGCCTTCAGATGAGGCCACGGAACTAATTTCCATAAAACAACATCTCCAGTGCTACTTGGTTGTAACTTCCAGTAGCATGATTCCAAGTGTACTGTAATTGTATGTGTCATGCGAAACGCTGGAGAAACGTAGCATACTTGTTAAAACAGACAGTGTTTGATGTCAGTAGGCTTCAACATTCACAATTCCCGGCATTGTACTCATCTGAAATCAAAAAGACTTCAGATAATCTGACATGTGTTAGATTTCATCCGATTGACTTTATTCTCACCATTTCTCAGAAAGCCTTCGAGCCCTAAATCAGATGACTCTTTAACAGTGAGGCTAACCCACGACACAGAGGTTAATAATGCAGCCCCAGGTAGATTGTGTTTTTTTGTTTGTTTGTTTGTGTTTTTTTAACTTTTTTTCTTGCTCCACTGACTGTCTTCATCAGTCATTACTCCAGCCATGAGTCCTTTCATAGCATGTTATGTGTGGGAGCCGTTGCGATCCATCCTCACACTCCATCATCCATGTTCTAATATGCATGCAGGGGTCATGTTGTTGCAAGTTTGCAACCCGACTCGCTATGTTTAACATAAACATCTGTTTTGTCGTTGATATCCCTCTCAGTGCTACATGAGAGAGTGTTTCGTCGATGACATTTTGCTCGAACATTGTCTCTCTATGTGTATTCCCGAGGCAACCAAAAGAGCAATTGTTGTAGGGGGGGGTGTCTCGTCAAACAGGAAGAAGCTGCTTACTTAATGTAATGTCGAATACTCGTGAATGACATTGTCCAGTGTTGCAAACTGTTTAGAGCGCCCATTATCATCTTGTTCCAGACGGAGTGCCACACTATGATGGCATGGAGGGGAGGGTGACCAATGGGACACGAGCTAGCGCGGTGTCGCTTCCCACTGACACCAGCAACAGGAGCAGCTTCAGTATTCCAGCCACAGTGTAGAGATGCCCTGCTCTGCAAGGGGCGGGAAGTCACTAAAAGAGAAAACACACACACACACACAAAAACAATGTTAATGATTCACCAAAAAGGAACAATTTTAGATCATTTTTCCATGTAGGGGGATTTGTTACAAGAGAAATGACTCGCCTCCTGCTGCTCCCTCTCCCCTCCCCCTGCAATCTAGATGGCCTGTGTTTGTTGTCTATTTTTTATTTCTCATTTTATTTAACATCACCGTCTTTGTCCTGTGTGCTTCTTTGTATGCCATGCGTCTACAGGTGCATGTTTTTACAATGTTGCGAGCATCATTGTTGAGTGATTTTTTTCAGAACCCTTTTATCACCGTCATAGGACATGTGTGTGTATATTTTGGTTCATATCTCGACTTTGCTCAAATCATTTTAGAATAAATAAATTGGTTCTATTTAGATGCGTGTCATCCCCATTTATTTTGCTACAAATATTGCATATGACACAAAATCAATATGGAGCGGGCTATTAAAGGAGGATTATTTTATGATTATGTATTCTGGTCGCATGCACAGGACCGCGCAGCAAGACTCCCAACGAACTCCACACTAACTTGATGCATTTCCCAAAAAGGAATGCACGGCAGTGACTTCCTTTACAAAGTGAAACAATGGACTCTGTGCTAAGCTTCCGATGCTGACACAAAACAACTTTTGTTGGTTTGAATGTGCGTAGCGTGCAGGGGAAATTAATGTCATAAACCTTTTTTAACCGGCACGAGATAACATTACCAGCTGGAGATAAGCAACGCAGTTTTGTAACCGTAATCGAAAGCACTGTAGGAAGACAGTTTATGCAATGAAACACAGTGAGCTGGTTAACTTAACACATTCAGATGTTCCTAAACTCTCTAATAATAATCATTTAGTGATTTATAAAAACATCGACCATGCATCCAAGATGTACTGTTTTAAGAGCGTGCTATAAGGTGAACGAGTAGCTGAATAAAGCAACAATACCTCTGCTTTAAACCCCAAAAATATTAGTAGATTGCAACGTTTGTACTTTTTGAGCTAAGAAAAAAATTAATCCTCTGCAGGGTGCAATTCATATGAAAAAAATGATAAAGTTCCTTCACCGACTGACATGTGTTATTCAAATCTCTAGCTCCATAATTTGGGTTTCTGATTAACTATTGCAGTATGTCCTTATAGGTTCTCCCTGCAGCAGATATTCAGCCCAACTACACTTTTTTTTTTCATTGTGCATATATTTCTTCTGCACAGGGAAAGTGGAGAGAGTCGACATCAGCGTGTGGAGCGAGCGGCCGCCTGCATCAGGTGAGCATGGCAACGTCAGCACCAATTTGAGATCTGATTGGTGAAAGACACAGTCACATTGCTAATATACATATAATATACACATAAGTTACATTAGCCGCCACTTCTGATTCTGAAGACCTCGGGCAAACTATATTCACATGATCGCACTTACCGGCTGAAATGTGAATGGACCAAAAAAATAATAATCTTGACATACACACGTGCTTGAAACAGTGCAGGCAAAAGAAACGCTATGGGAGTTGACTTTTTGTAAATCTAGGTACAGTACTAGTGATCCCATTTAGGCCGGCAAAGGAACCTTTCTGGCCCTGACCACTCATCATTTTTGATAACTTTTATTCACGTTCCAATGCAGCCAATGACGAGGAGAGCAGCATAGTGTCCAATGAGCCCGATGTGGAGTACACTGAGGTGGTGCATCCTCAGCCAACAGACCCATCCAAAGGTAACGAATCCACCCTCTCCTTTGTCCCTGACTACGCTTAAAAACTTTAAAATGTTTCCCTGTGCATTCTGGACATTCATTTCACCTCCCTTTCATATCTCCTTACAAAAAAAAAAAAGCAGCCACTTAGTTGATAAGGGAAACACACTTCCGAGGAGGGGCCTAATTACCCTTAATCAAGACATCTCCAGGGAGTTACAACTGTTGGAATAACTGTTGGCATCTCCAGGACTGTTATAGATGCTATAAACAGGAAGGGTTGAGCTAATTGCTGAGCTGGGCTCTGATACGGGGTGGCTCTTCATGAATGTCCTGTGAGCTCAACACTGTAGAATGTGACCACTGTCTATTTTTGTATTTGTGTTAATTATACATTGACGCTGCTTATCGTGGCCATGTTGCCTTTTGATGACAGGAACAGGCTAATGTTTGGATTTTTACGCTCAACAGCACCACGAAGGAAAGGCACAGAAACGGTTTACAGCGAGCTCCAGAACTCTTCGCATGGTGAGTTGAATGTCCCTTTTAATGCTGCCTTGATGGCAATAAAAATGGTCCGTTTAATATTGTATGTTTTATTTTAAGGATTTGTAAGTTTCTTAACGGTCTCCAATTTTCTGGTTGTTTATTGGTGACGGTAATGGACAGAATATCAGTGCAACAAAACGGACTGAAATGATGCCGTTGAGTTTATCACCGAGTTCAGGGGTGTCAAACTCATTTTTGTCACGGGCCACATTGTAGTTATGGTTTCCCTTGGAGGGCCATTATAACGGTGAATTTTGTGAACCCATATAAATGTTTAAGCACCTCCACATATTACATACACAGCGCACAACAAATTGATGGATAACTAGTTTTAAAATCAGAAGTCAAGAATAATGACTTGTTTAAACATTGTTTATATTCATGTAATCAGGGGTTTGGTAATGAGAAAATGCTTGCAAGATCATATGTTGTTTTGGATTACATATGACAATTTGAAATGTTGCTTCGGACTTTAGCAAGCATCATGGAACTTGACATGCTTGATTTGTTTTCGCGGGCCACGTAAAATGATGTGGCGGACTAGATCTGGCCCCCGGGCCTTGATTTTGACACCCGTGACCTACAGTATTTGAGATGTTCTGCTGCAGCAAAATCTCTCTAATTGATAATTAGGGCTCAAAGTTAACATGAAATCAATGAAAAGTTGGGTTATTGATGGTGTGGCAAGTGACCACACTGACTATTTCCTGTTACTGCTGGCAGGAACTTCCTGTTATTGGAACAGCAGCCAGATGCAGTATGCTGTCAAGCATCCCTCTGTGTACTAAGACTTCCTTATGAACCGTGACTAAGGAATTTGGCATTCTTCAAAGACTGTGGATTGAAATGACAGTGGTCGAAGCAAATAGCATTTTGTTGCGGCGAAACAAAAAGTAATGAGTGAGCGAGGTCAGCCGCATCCACGCGTCTGTCGAATGAGTCATGATGAGTCCCTCTGATGTCAGCCGATGAGTCAAGGGTCCACATCCACCACACCTAACCTGTGACTCTTTTCTCTGTAGGCGCTGATGAGCATCATGGCTATGTGAGTTGACTGCGATCACAACCACGCAGCAAGGCTTCGCTACACACACTGCAGTCATCAATTAATATTGAGGGGGTTTTTTTGCACTGATAATCATTGCTGCACATCATTGTATGTCAATATGTCGATTTTGACGCTCACTGTAGCTGTTGTGCATTCATTCCGACAAACCACATCCCCACTCAAACAACTAAAATAATAACATTGTGGTGGGCAAATGTACTTTATTTAGCAAAACAGGTCCAACCATGATATAACAGTGGTATGTTTTTCCCTTTCCTGCTCTCAATATTAATTAATTTGTTTAGTTTTACGCAGAGGATTTTATTTGTGGTATTGTCTTAACACGACTACTCTTACTACATACCACTGCATGGAGTGTTTCAGTCCCTCCCTGTTTCAGTGACCCTCAGCAGGCCGATGATCCAGAGCAAGAGGGGAAACCGCCGTCAAAGTTTCCAGACAAGAACAAAGCTGTTTGGGCTGGGGCTTCCTTCCTTATCGGCCCCCAAAATCAGAGTTTGCGCCTCAGTCAAATTACCTTGAGGCCTAGACTCGACTTTATCGTTTCTGTTCTTGACCATCATGACCTAATGCCTTGATCGCATTCCAGTGATTTGCCGTCGTAGTAATTATTCCTTACTCGGAGTGTTTGGCTGTGTTTCATCCTTGAATTCACTTCATGTCCTCCTGATGCACTTTGTGTGCAGGGTTCTGTGGAGTACGCCGATCTCAATGGCGAACAACATGAGATGAATCACTATCCAGTCGAGCACCATAACTGCCAGGATCTGCCGGTTCCAGTGGATTAGTCAGACAAATAGGCATCGCACACTGCTCTGTTTCCACGGCACGTGCACGTCATAAACGCACCGGGTGCCCTCTTGTAGCCCTCCTGACGTTCCTATCAGCAACATAAATGACTGCTGTAAATATTTGCTCACGGATGAAGACGTGTGTCATTTTTGTTGTGCTGTGCCATTGTTGATCGTGAAGAGGTAGCAGGAATAGCGAGCATATTTGAGAGCCATTTCCTCACTATTTCAACTGAACCATAAATTACAGATGCGTTATTTATCCATCCATGCATTTTTCTATACTGCTCAAAAGGGTCACCCGTAAACTGGAGCATATTCCAGTAGGTTTTGGGTAAGGACATGGACAATTTAAATCAGGGAAGGGCATTTTAAACGATTGAGGGGCCACAATTTTTCATCACCTCTACCGGGGGTCACATTGGACCACACACACTGACTATTATTACCTTACGGACAATGCAACTAACAGCCGAGACCTTGAAGCCGTGTTCGTCCAGGTGCATTTGTTTGAGTGACACACTCCAGTACTGCAGAATTTATTGAAATAATCATCATAAATAAAAGTTAAAGACTTACTTTCAGGCCACCCATGGTCAGAATAATTAGCCTGACGATGATGACATTTCTGCTATGTAGCCCATTGCATGATGGTTAAAAACGTTGGAATAGCAGGGTTGCATGTGTGCAAAATTACAACTATTTTAAAATATGTCTTTGATAAAAAATAAAAAAAAAACAAAATCACAAGGAAGGCATATCAATGAAATTATGCCAAAAGACTCACTGACGACAAATGTTATCTGTTACATTTGACAAAGGGCGGTCCGGTGATCCAGTGGTTAGCGCGTTGACCTCACAGTGCAGAGGTCGTGGGTTCGACCCCGGCTCCCACCTTCCTGTGTGGAGTTTGCATGTTCTCCCCATGCCTGTGTGGGTTTTCTCTGGGTACTCCGGTTTCCTCCCACATTCCAAAAACATGCATGGTAGGCTGATTGAACACTCTCAATTGTCCCAGGGGGTGTGAGTGTGAGTGCGGATGGTTGTTTGTCTCTGTGTGCCCTGCGACTGGCTGGCCACCGGTTCAGGGTGTCCCCTGCCTACTGCCCAAAGACAGCTGTTATAGACTCCAGCACCCCCTGCGACCCTTGTGAGGATAAAGCGGATCGGAAAATGGATGGACGGATATTTGACATATAAGATGGTCATCAAGATGGAGTGACAAGAGTAAACAATATTTTAGGAGGTTCTCAAGCACTATTTGGTATTTTAAATATCTAAG